TCTCAGGGGTCTTCCACGTTCGCACTGCTTCGATCTTCTTAGGATCCACGTGAACTCCTTGAGCGCTCACCATATGTCCAAGGAACTGGACTTTTTTCAACGCAAACTCGCTCTTGGATAGTTTCACGTAGAAGCGTTCTCGTCGAAGAATTTCAAACACCCGTCGTAGATGCTCAACGTGCTGCTTCATATCTTTCGAGTAGATCAGGATATCGTCCAAATATACCACCACGCACTCGTCCAGAAGGGGCCGAAGGATGTGGTTCATTTCCGCCTGAAATGTGGCTGGTGCGTTAGTGAGTCCGAATGGCATCACGAGATACTCGTATGACCCGTACTGAGTTCGAAAAGCGGTTTTGTGGATAGAGTTGTCCGCCATACGAATTTGCCAGTATCCCGATCTGAGGTCGAGCTTGGAGAATACCGTAGCACCGTGAAGTTGATCGAGTAAGTCGTCGATCCGTGGTATCGGGTATTTATTTTTTACAGTCTGCTTGTTCAAGGCTCGGTAGTCGATGCACATTCGCAGACTTCCGTCTGGCTTCGGAGTGAAGAGAACTGGAGCTCCATACGGCGAAGTTGAAGGTCGAATCAGCCCTTTCTCCAGGAGATACTCTATTTGTTTTTTCATATCGGCAAGCTCTATCGGGCTCAGCCGGTATGGTGCTCGAAATGTTGGCTTGGACCCCGGCTCTTCTACGATCTCGTGTTGATGTGTCCGGTATGGCGGTAGTTGATCAGGTAAATCGTCGGGGAGAACGTCCTGGAACTCTTCAAGAATTTTCTTGACTGCTGGAGGAAGTTCCTGGGTCTGCTTCTCTCCGTTGTCTGCCTCGTTGACTATCGCCATGAATCACGCCGTGGTCCGTTTGACGTCCTTTTCAAAGCGTGCGAGTGTCTCGACTGGAATATTTCCTGTGTCGTCCCATTTGGGAAGGCTGATTTTCCTCCCGTTGTTGTTGATGTTGGCCGTCTGGTTAACCCAGTTGATCTCGGGGTTGAACTTTTTAAGAAAGTCTCTCCCGAAGATTACGTCGAGTCCTTTGATATTTGTGACGGGGAGAGCAGGCTTCCATCGAAGGGGTCCAATCTGGAGTAGCAACCGTGTTTCCCCGTAGATAGGTAGCTTACTGCCATCCACCATCGTTGCAGAGAAGCTTGAGGACTTGATGTCACTTCCGAGTCGATTGATTGCCTTTTTGTCATAGACGCTGTGCGACGCCCCGCTGTCCACGAGTGCTTGGAGGCGCTGTCCGTTGCAGATCACCTCGAGCAGGAGTGGTGAGCGTTGCTCGGAGTACCCAAAAATAGTCTCATTAATAGGATCATAGGGTACATCCCAATATTCAGTACACACCGTGGTTCCACTGTTTTCTCCTGGACAACTGGCTGGCCTGGGCTGCGTGGAGAAAGGCTCTTCTCCAATGCCAGGAGTAGAGGTAGTAACCGTACAAGTTGACCCTGAGGGGGTGGATCCGGTCGGCGCCTGCGATCCACTGGATGCATCCTTGAGGGGTTTTCGGAGTTTCCGCAGCTTCTTTTGAACTCCCAGCTGCCTCTTCAGCTGCTTCAGCTCCATAGACTTCTTCCCTGGGGAGTGGAGAGTCGTCTTGGGCTGGTTCCGGGAGAGGACGTTGACGCCGTGAAAAGGTCTACTCCTTTCCACACTCCTTAATTTTTTCCCCAGCTCCGTAGGCACCGGTACCACTTCTTTAATTGTCTGCTTCCTCTGGAGTTCTTCCCGGAATTTGTTTATGGCTCCGGACCCGCGAAAAACGCCAGTCTTCATTAAAGCATCTTTGAAAGATAACTTTAACGAATTCTGTTTTTTTCCGGGGTCGAATTGGAGAGTTCCCGTCTTGGTCGAGTCTGTTTTCGCGGAGGTTTTCTTTTCCTCGGCGAATTCCTCTGACAAATTTCGGTCAAGGGGCTTGGGATTTCGCCCTTGATTCTCCAAATCTCGCGCCCAATGCTGTCCTTCAATTTCGATTCGGTCCAGATTGCGCTGACTCTTTCGGATCTGTTTTTCCTCGCCAGCACGATCCGCAATCACTGGCGAGATCCGTTTTTTGACTTTTTGTTTTTAGTTTCGCCACTCCCACGAGCTCAGAATGCCGCACGTGCAGATTTCATGTGAAAACAGTCGACAATCCGATGTCCGTTTCCGCCGCAAAATTCGCAAAGTGTTTTGTTTTTTGCAGGACGTGAACTCGCGTCGAATTTGTCGACTTCCATGGGGTCGGCGAACGTGGTTGAAGCCGAGCGATCCCCTTGTCGTGATGCGACGACGTGGGGTCGTCGTGTCCCGGAGTTGACCAAGTCAAAACGCTCCGCGGCCGATACGATTTCGCTGTAGCTGCTGCAATTCGCTGCTGCAACCTGGCGCCGAATGTCGGTTTTCAGCCCCGCGATGTAGGACTGAATTTTTTCGCCCTCGGTAATGTCGGGAATGCGATTATAAAATTCCTCCATCTGCTGCGTGTATTGCGCGACACTCCCGTATTGCTTATGGTGATGTAATTTTTCGCGCGCAATATAAGTGGAATTAATCGACTCAAAACGTTTGAGAAGGTCTGCCCGGAACTGCTGCCACGTGGCTTCGCCCTGGAAAATGCTACTGTTGCTTCCGAGCCACTCGAGAGCTGGACCGCGCATCAACGTTGTCGCGAGACAAATTTTCTCGCCGTCGTACTCCGTTGTCGTCCATCCGATCGCCGCGAAATAAATTTCCATCGTCGCGAGCCACCGCCTGACGTCGGATTTTCGATCGCTAGGGTCGAACGATTCCGGCGAGCGAAGTTTCGGAACCTCGAACTGACGCTGCGACTGCTGCGAAGTCGTCGAAGCAGGAATGTTCATGGTCGAGAGGAGCCGCGTAACGTGCTGCAGTTCGTTTCGCAGCTGCTCGTTCTCCAATCGCGACCGTTCAGTCGTCGCTCGCATCTCCGCTTCCATCTTGGCGATTTGCGCGAAGAGCTGCTGCGTAACGTCGTTGGTCGTTGGCGAACCCATCCTGTTCAAAAACCACGCGAGGGGGTTAATTCGAAAAGCGCGGAACTGGTACTTACCAGAAATCGGCGTCGAATTGGTCGCCCCCGGCGGTTTTTCGAGGCGATTTTTTCCGCGACCGCTGCTTAGCCGAGAGTTGTCGAGTGAGAACGGCTCTGATTACCAAGTGTCACAGGATCGAATTCTCAATCGAAACTTGTCACTAAAACTGAATACAAGGCCTATTTATACTCGGAAAGTACAAGGATAAACGAGATAAAACGAACCTTCGGGAACACACCCTTCCCGATACTACAATCACAAGTGCGCATAAGCACGCAAGTCTATTGGCACTTGGGATTACGCCCAGATTACACCGTATACACCACTGTCGGCTCTGTCGGTGCCGTACACTAGGTATGTCGGTGGGAAAAGTAGGAAATAAGAGAAATAAATAGAAGGCTCTAGAAAATAGAATAGTAGGCCGATTGAGATGAGATAAAGACCAAAATAAAGAGGAGAAAAGGGAGAATAGGATAACGGAAAAATATAATAGTGAGAAAATATTATAACGGAAACGTCCTCTCACAAACGTCATACATCTGGGTGATAACAAAACCACTTGCAATCCCCTCACTACTACATTAACAACTGCCATCCTATGTCTCTTCACACGCTTCCTTACATCCTTAACTACCCGCAGAAACCATCTAGCGTAGACCTCTTGAAGAATGCGTAGGCTGCGCTCGGACGAGCTCAGTGACGTTCCACGCCTCCGGCCCCTTTGCACGCGTCCTCTCATGTGCCGCACGATGCAATGCGTTGCACGTTGGCCAGCTGGGAAAACTACTACTGCTGCCATGGAGTCCGGATTGAACGTCAAAGTACACATCGCTCAACGAGAAGCGGGGGTTCCTTATCATGCCCACCAACCTATCGGCGTCGCGACAGCGCAATCCATGGGTGGAGAATAGACGCAACAGCCTCTGTATGTCATCACGAGGTGTAGAGGCCTCGTCGCGTTGCACCGTATCGTCGTCTGAGCGAAATACATCCATTTGCCGGCCTGTGCTGCGGCTCGCATGTTCTCGCATGCGAACCCAGCGCGTCACATTTGGAGGTGGCAGACGCTTGGCCATACAGCGTGCGTTATACATCCTGTGTGCCCGCATCGCGGACCGGCCTACGAACCACCTTCCGCACACTTTGCAATCATGCGCTGCTCTTTCCTTGTCTACCATTCCAGGTGACTGGCATCATGACCCCTGGTCTCCAATGTCCATACGGGTAATCAGTGCTGCGCAGCGAACCTAGGGTTTAACCAGAAGCTGGACACGGCAGAAATGGATAATAACCTTGAAGGGCACCACAATAGATTTGGCCGCCGTCGATCTAGGGTTTCGGAGCTCTGATGCCCTCGACCAGTGTTGAAGCCCTGGCGTACCCGTTATACATAACCGCACTGCAAAATCTTCACAAAGAATTCGAAGTGTACTACGGGTTTCACATTACATACCACTCGCCTCAACTGCCCCTATCTACAACCCGGTTTCAACATGTGGCCGCAGCGATGCCAGTCGTGCACAACCACACCTCATCCAACCTCACGCCGCCGGTAATTAGCCTCTCCATTCGTAGTCCTCCATGTGGGAGACTGACGTGGCCTTGTGTCCGACTCGTGTACACCGTGTGGATAGCGTCTGTGAGGTGCGCAAGACGGACAGTCCTTGCACTCGCACACGGGAAGTCCTTCCCCATATGACGCGACCGTCATTTAACCGCACACGGACGATCGTCACCACGCAATTGTCCAAGCCATGGCGGGTCTTGTGCAGCTCCTGGAGTCGCTACGGGCTCACCCTGAGGACGTATTCTGCTTCGTAGAGACGCCGCTCCTCGCGACCACCTTGCCATTCACGTATAATGTGGAGCCTGACACTCGTTACCGCCCGCAGTGCGAACTTCGTGTTTGCCTGTTGTTTAACGCTACAGGGTCATCCTCGCAGCCGCCAATGGTCGTGACGCGTCGTTCTCGTGGCCGCCCGTACCGCCCGCTCTTCCCGGACGGCAAGCCCGCGCATCTGCGTCAGACTAGATCTGGGGAACTCACGGCCGAGGTGCGTGCGCGCGCTGCAACTATACTGTGATCCTTCTGTGCAACTAATCACACGCGGTCCTCGTCGTGTATGTGTTTCCCTCTGTCCCGCAGTGCTTCACAGAGTACATTGACACCTTCGACTTGGATCACTTCAGCCACAACAAGTCTGCCATTGTACTCGTCGCGAGCGCAGCTCACGTGTCCCTGGACCCCGCATGTGACGAGAGCACACTCTGCGGATTCCGTGTGCAGGAGCTCACGTCAACGAAGATAGTTCATCTCGATGGTGCCGTGTCGACGTACAACCTTCCGTGGTTCAACGGGGTGGTCGAGATGTTCAAGACCATTTTCCGGTCCCGCTACATCGACTTCATCATAAGGGACGCGACATGGCTGTCTAAGGGCGCAATGCCCATAATTGTCTTTGAGAACGTACTGCTATGCTTGGGGTCTGCTAGCGACTGCACCCCTTGCAGGGCTGTCCACCTCTCGTGGGCAAGGTCTGGGATGTTGCCCATGGCGTGGAGGTCGCTTCTCCATCTGACGGATTATCCTGCAACTTGTGTCACGGTGGAGCCACTCGTTTCCCAACTCGTCCGTCTGCAGCTACTGATAAACCCGTTCAAAAAGGGCGATACTGCCATGATGCAAGCCACCGAATACGCGTCGTGCGACACCCGCATTCTCGCCATCATCGGCCGGGACGCTCCCGTCGCAGACGTCGTAGCGGTGGAGATTACCGCTCCGTTGATTATGCCAGCTGGGTCGAGTCTGCACGACCCTCGTAGTCGCCGCCGAGTAGTGCGCACCGTGACTAAGACGTACATACGTACCGCGGCGCAACTGGGCATTCTTCCGAGGGATTTTCTCGAGCGCACTGGTCTATGCAACGACGACGTCATCAACGGGCTCCGTCGCACTCCAACTAAGCGGGCTCGACTGAGCGGTGCGCGCCTGGCAGTGCCTGGGTATAGCGACAGCGATGGCTTAGACGGAGCTATGCTGCGGTGCAACAGTTCTCCTCTCGCTTCATCCGTCAGTGGCAACAGCTTTTAGGGGTGGCTGCGCCTAGATGGTTTTGTAATTGGCTTGTCAATACCCAGCGATCTAAAAGACCAGACAGTACGGAGTTATCGCATTTAAATAAACCGTGAACGCAACATTGTAATGCGCTACCCTATACGCATGTGCAAACGTGCTCCTTACACCCGCATTAACATGTTCCATCACCATGTATTGCTTGCACGCAACTATGACGACAATCAACAACCCGGACACATCAACTTCGTACCAGTTATTTCACCATTCTGCACAAATGTCAATTACACGCGGTACTATCCGTCCCGTTATGTGGGTACATAAGGGTCTCGCAACCCTTTGATTTTTGTTTATGCAAACCATGTAGCCAATATCAAGCGTGGACGAGGGTGTGCATTGATTTGTACTCCTTAAAAGTCTCCATCATTCTATCCGTTGCTACCCATGCATGTGTCCGATCGAGAGTCTTCGCTTTTGGCGCGCTCTCATATATTACGGACGCGTGGCAAACTTGCCTGTCGTCTCAACCAGACCTAATCCGCACTTACGCCCTCATCAGATCCACTTCCTCCCGCACATCTCGATCTCGAGCGGATCCTTCTGTCCATCGCAGCGGTGGGTCAGGCAGTAGAAGGTGAGAACTAACGACCATGTGGAGCATTAGCTACTCCTGTCCGTAGTTGCTCCAGATAACTGTCCCGCACACATAGACGCCAACCGCACGATGTCGAAGCGAACAAAGCACGAGAAATCCGTCCACGACAGCGGGTCTCCAAAGCTTGCTCAGGGCGTGGAAGAGTTGATTGAACGGATGCGTACCAAGAGGCCTGGCACGGACTCACCACCTCCGGCAGGCAGCGACACTAAGCGTGATATTTTGAAGTCTGAGAGTTCGGAGTGCGCACGCGTCAAATCCCTACAACTCGTCCCATCTCCCGATACAGACGAGCCGAACGACTTGGTTAGCAGTCTGCAGGTTCCCGAAAACCAAAAGGCCTTCAAGACGTTGGCCCTATATGGACCTCACGGTCAGGGGTGCCAGGTGAACGCGCAGGATGCGCTTACTACGGCAGACGGCCAGAATCTTGCGGACAGCGTCGTTGATTTCCACAACATGTGAGTGTCGTTTTTGTTGGATCAGGAGAGCATATATGCGCTTGTGGCTGTGTATCTTACCCCATCAATGCACCGTATCCATCTGCGTGTGTAGACTTCTGAACATCCGACGCCCGCATCTGCCGGATGGCAAGACATGGTTTCCATTGGACACCAAAGCCTACGTCTACGCGACGCAGTTGAACAGGGCGTTGCCGATGGGAAGATCCCCGTGTGTTTTCGATCTCGACTACCTTGCCATACCGGTTATTGCAAGGTGGGAGGTGAAGATATCACGTGTCCAGTCCAGCATGTGCACCTAGGTCTCAACGCCATGATGATGGTTTAACGAGGTGTGGAAACCTGTGTGTGTACGTACACGAGGCACTTCTCTCTGGTAATTGCGGTGAACCTGCGGGCTATGACAAGGAGGATGTCATCTGAGGGGGACGGCGATCCTCTATACCTCATCCACTATGACAGTGAGGGGCTGCACACGAGGACGCCATAGGTCATAGAGGGTGTGAAGAAGTGAGTCCCAGTCACAGCAGGACAATGGACGTTGTGAAACCATTGAGGTGGAGACTCATCGGATCCGTGTTTCTATGGTGGCGCAGGATGTTGTTTCTACTTCACAAGGCTCGTCGCCCGCTCGGCGACCATCCGTACGCTGCGAAGGCCTTGAAGGACGCCAAGCGCATAGTCATTCAGGTATGGTCCGCCCGGCGTTCTTACCGTTTCACTTATGTGCGGGGCTCGGCGAATGATGCATTGGTGCAATCTTCTGTGTGTTTTCCAGAAGGAGGTTATCCCTCAACAGGGTAACAACACCGACTGTGGAGTGTTCGTGTGTATGTACCTGAACGGACTGGTCAACACGGGATTCAAGACGGTGTTTACCTGGGTGTCATGCAACGGCGTCACATCACGCACCTACAGGAGAGGCATGCGCAGGGATGTGGCCAGTCATGCAGTGGGGGAGCTGTTTGTGCAGCTGTACATGGAGGAAGTCGAGGTGCCGCCCCAGCCGCATGCGCGTGTAGACGACGACGACTGCATGCTGTTTCCAACGGAGGACGAGGTCAGAACGGACCTGGCGCAGCTGTCCCGCGATAGGAACAGCATGGAGGTGGATGGTGTCCTCATGGCAGCCGCCGTGATGAGTATCGCCTCAGCGCTTGGGTTCACGCAGGATTAGCTGGAAGCGGCGTGTGCCCATGAGTTGGGTACGCATGGGACGCGACTCCTCAGGCGGTCAAGCACGGGCGGCAGGATGCGGGAGCGTGAGGCGGCGTCGAGGTCGCTGACCAGACTCCTACACAACTCCCCCGCACCACTACCTCAACCCCGGTTTATCAGTGTTAACTTCCCGTACACTGATGGCGCTGGCGACGAGCAACAAAGGGGACACGTCTCTAAGACTGCCAATCCGAAGACACCAGACGGGACGCCCGTGAAGGGTCATGGTGCCGGCGGCCGCATGCCAAGGACCAGGGCCACCAAGGTGAAGGCAAGCGGTACAGGGGGTCTGGTGAAACGTGGGGGAACGAGCGGGTACACCGGGGTGTGGTACGACCTCCGAGTGCGGAAGTGGTGCGTCAAAATCATTGCAGGCCCGGAAACTGGGAAGCAGGTTCGCCTTGGAGCGTACTTGAAGGAGGAGGACGCGGCGTATGCGTACGCCGCTGGCGCGTTTGTGATCAGACGGAAGGACCACTTCCCCAAGATGATGTCATTGTCAGATGCGGAGATGGCTGCACTGGAGGGGGCTATCGTGGATGACGTTAGGCATCTTGTACAGAAGCGCCAATGGTACAGGTGGAGGGAGTGGCGTAAAGCCATGGACTACATTGGTGTACTGCCAGGAACACCCTTCAAGCCGGAGCCAGGTGCGGAGTCGCCTCCAACGAAAGCAGAGGCAGCTGATAGCGATACTCGAGATGCTGAAGAAGATGAGGATCTGGTGAGCGAGGATGACAATGGGGGAGAAGACAGTGAGGGGGGGATTGCGTGCACACAGGCCCAGGGGTAGTGAGTGGGCAGTGGAGGGATCATGGGACGGGTGGCTTGGAGGCGGTGTGAGAGCTGACTGGTTAAAGTAGTAGAGGTATCTGTGGTAGACGTTGCGTGCGATGGAAACTGTTGTTGTTTTGGAGTGTCAATCTAGAGACAAATGTTTGTACTTTGCATGTTGATGTATGTTAAAACCGGGGTCACAAGTTTGCCAAGTTTGGTTCATCCTTCCTACCCTTGGTTGGGTGTAACCCTGTTGACAGCGTTGGGGCCTGAAAGTTCACGCTTGGATGGGAAGAAACTCTCGCCCCCCAAAATTACTGTAGCGTCTGCATCGCCTGCACCCGAACAGGGCCCAAATGTTTCGCACAGGCAACTGAGGTAGGAAACCTGAAACCAGCGGGGTAGAAACTTGAGACTCGATGTATCCAGGCACCAAACGCACTGCTCGATAACAGCCGCGTCTCCTTAGTAGTCCACAACTCACCTTTCCTAGCCGAGACAATGCACACATTAGGTGCGTGTGGTGAGCGTAGTGGACGATTTTAGCCAGGCCGCAAAGAACCCGCGCTCACTTCGTCCCCTGAAGGGATTAGGTAAAAGCCAACGAGGGCAGCGTTGCGAATTTGGCGTCGACAGCTAGGGCGCGAGGAAAAACGCCACGTGCGCCCACGAACGCGCGGGCTCGAGGGCGTCACCTTACGCAACGCGCATTGTGTGTCTGCTCGGCGATTTTATCATGGTACAGCGCTACGCTCCCTCTTTCGTACTATAAAGTAGTCTCACGCTGCGTTGCGAAATACGTGCCAAGAGAAAAACCTAGCTCCTGCTACCTCTTTCTCCCACACGCACGTCGCGACCACTCCCCTTCCCTGTCGCGACCACTCCCATTCGTCAATATAGGGGACGCTTTCCCCGACACGCGCACTCCCCCTCCCCGACGGAAGCTGAACCCTTCCGCGGCACGTCAGCACTCCCATTCCCCGTCACGCTCCACACCCATTCCCCTTCACTCTAGCGCACCCATTCCATCCCACGCTAGCTCTCCATTCCCTGTCACGCTAGCACTCCCATTCCCCGTCACGCTAGCACGACATTCCCTGTCACGCTAGCACTCCCATTCCCCGTCACGCTAGCACTCCCATTCCCCGTCACGCTAGCACGACCTTCCCTGTCACGCTAGCAAACCCCTTCCCCGACGCCAGGACAGCACTCCCATTTCCGCACGCTAGCGCACCCCTACCCCACCCAAAGCACTCCCCTTCCCCGTCCCTCTTCCACAGCGTATAGTGACCCACGCACCCCACGCTAGCCCAAAACAATGCCTCCCTAGCACTCCCCTCTGCCAGCGCTACTGCGGGCCCTTCCACACGGGAGCCCCCTCCTTTCGCTACCGCCCAAGCACTCCCCTATGTCCAGGCTAGCCCTCCCCGTCCTCGTCGCTATCACGCTCCTTCCCCCGCACTAGTACATTCCTACCCCGCTTATACCACTCCCCTTCCCCATGCCAGCACTCCCTTGGGCCACACTAGCACGACCCTTCCCCAACGCTAGCCCTCCCCTTCCCCCACGCTAACACTCCCCTTCCCCCACGCTAGCAAGCACTCCCCTTCCCCCACTCTCCTTTCTCCCCTTTTCCTACGCTAGCACTCCCCTTCCCCCTCGCTAGCAAGCACTCCCCTTCCCCCACTCCCTATTCTCCCCTTCACCCACGCTAGCTCCCCCCTCCCCCCTCCCTAGCACGCCCCTTTCCCCATGAGCGCACTCCCCTCTCCCCTCCCTAGCACTCCCCTTCCCCCTCCCTAGCACTACCCTTCCCCCTCCCTAGCACTCCCCTTCCCCATCGCAGGCCCGGCCCTTCCCCCACGCTAGCACTCCCAATCCCCCTTGCTAGCGTCCACTCCCCTTCCCCCACGCTAGCACTCCCAATCCCCCTTGCTAGCGTCCACTCCCCTTCCCCCACTCTAGCACTCCCAATCCCCCATGCTAGCGTCCACTCCCCTTCCCCCACTCTAGCACTCCCAATCCCCCTTGCGAGTGTCCACTCCCCTTCCCCCACTCTAGCACTCCCAATCCCCCTTGCTAGAGTCCACTCCCCTTCCCCCACTCTAGCACTCCCAATCCCCCTTGCTAGCGTCCACTCCCCTTCCCCCACTCTAGCACTCCCAATCCCCCTTGCTAGCGTCCACTCCCCTTCCCCCACTCTAGCACTCCCAATCCCCCTTGCTAGCGTCCACTCCCCTTCCCCCACTCTAGCACTCCCAATCCCCCTTGCTAGCGTCCACTCCCCTTCCCCCACTCTAGCACTCCCAATCCCCCTTGCTAGCGTCCACTCCCCTTCCCCCACTCTAGCACTCCCAATCCCCCTTGCTAGCGTCCACTCCCCTTCCCCCACTCTAGCACTCCCAATCCCCCTTGCTAGCGTCCACTCCCCTTCCCCCACTCTAGCACTCCCAATCCCCCTTGCTAGCGTTCACTCCCCTTCCCCCACTCTAGCACTCCCAATCCCCCTTGCTAGTGTCCACTCCCCTTCCCCCACTCTAGGACTCCCAATCCCCCTTGCTAGTGTCCACTCCCCTTCCCCCACTCTAGCACTCCCAATCCCCCTTGCTAGCGTCCGTTTCCTCTCCTCTCCTCCAGGGCAGGGCGGTCCCATTTTCCCTCTCCTCCTCTCACCCATTGTGACACTATCCCAATCCCTCTCTCATCCTACTGCTCCCTTGCACCACCATCCATTTCCCTCTCTATTCTCCCTACCTCCCTTCGCAGGGCAGTCCCCTTTCCCTACTCCTACGCTCATCCGTGGTGCCTCTGTCCCAATCCCGCTCTCACACTTTTCCCTCATGCGCTATTGTTCTATTCACCGTTTCCGCACCTCTCCTCTATTGCAGGGGAGTCCCATTTTCCCTCTCCTCCTCTAACCCCTTGTGACACCGTCCCAATCCCTCTCTCATCCTTTCCTCCCTTGCACCACCATCCCTTTCCCATGTTCTTCTCCCTACCTCCCTACGCAGGGCAGTCCCCTTTCCCTACTCCTACGCTCATCCGTTGTGCCTCTGTCCCAATCCCGCTCTCACACTTTTCCCTCATGCGCTATTGTTCTATTCACCCTTTCCTCTCCTCTCCCCCATTGCAGGGCGGTCCCATTTGCCCTCTCCTCCTCTAACCCCTTGTGACACCGTCCCAATCCCTCTCTCATCCTACATCTCCCTTGCACCACCATCCCTTTCCCTCTTTCTTCTCCCTACCTCCCTACGCAGGGCAGTCCCCTTTCCCTACTCCTACGCTCATCCGTTGTGCCTCTGTCCCAATCCCGCTCTCACACTTTTCCCTCCTGCGCTATTGTTCTATTCACCCTTTCCTCTCCTGTCCCCCGTTGCAGGGCGGTCCCATTTTCCCTCTCCTCCTCTCACCCGTTGTGACACTGTCCCAATCCCGCTCTCATCCTACTGCTCCCTTGAACCACCATCCCTTTCCCTCTTTCTTCTCCCTACCTCCCATCGCAGCGCAGTCCCCTTTCCCTACTCCTACGCTCATCCGTTGTGCCTCCTTCCCAATCCCGCTCTCATCCTTTTCCCTCATGCGCTATTGTTCTATTCACCCTTTCCTCTCCTGTCCCCCATTGCAGGGCGGTCCCATTTTCCCTCTCCTCCTCTCACCCCTTGTGACACTGTCCCAATCCCGCTCTCATCCTACTGCTCCCTTGAACCACCATCCCTTTCCCTCTTTCTTCTCCCTACCTCCCTTCGCAGGGCAGTCCCCTTTCCCTTCTCCTACGCTCATCCGTTGTGCCTCCGTCCCAATCCCGCTCTCATCCTTTCCTCCCCACCAGTCCCGTTTCATTCCCCCTTTCATCTCCTTACCTCCCTGAGTGGGCTGTCCCATTCCCCTACTCACAATGGGGGATTACCTTGTGCCTCTGTCTTAATCCCGCTCTCATCCTTTTCCCACTTGCGCTATTGCTCTATTCACCGTTTCCTCTCCTCTCCTCCATTGCAGGTGAGTCCCATTTGCCCTCTCCTCCTCTAACCCCTTGTGACACCGTCCCAATCCCTCTCTCATCCTACTGCACCCTTGCACCACCATCCCTTCCCCTCTTTCTTCTCCCTACCTCCCTTCGCAGGGCAGTCCCCTTTCCCTACTCCAACGCTCATCCGTTGTGCCTCTGTCCCAATCCCGCTCTCATCCTTTCCTCCCTTCTCCCTCCCCATGTCCCCCGGCGCCCTTGTACCCTCTCTGATCCCTGCTCCGATCTCTCTTCCCAATCCCATAGGCTTGCAATCTGGTCGGCACAACCACGTCGACTGATCCAAGCGTTAAGCTTAGGGAACTGGTCGAAGACATCGCCAAGAAGCACAGAACGAAGCAAGTATCTATATGTAGAAACATGCAGGAGCCTGTAGCTCTGCTGCGTAGCGGAGCAACGATCATGTTTGGAGGCAATCGGGAGGCATCATGCGGGGACCTGATCTACCTATACACGCTGGCGGCACCACGCCTCACGAAGAAACTCATGACTGTTGCATCAGAAAACAGTGAGTAAGTTGGATAACGGTGTGCTTGCATTAGGATTATGGAGTGCAATGTGCTAGTTTTTAATACGCCAGCACCCGCATAGACCGTGATCCATAGTTCATTCATGCTCCGTTTAATAAAAACCCATCTTGCTTCCAGGGACGGACCGGCGTACTGCTGCCACCGTTGCTCGCATGCGGCTCACGGCACATGGTCAGGATCTACAATTCGGTGACGTGGATTCGGTCGGGAAGGTGGCTGACCTCATGTGCAAAGCATCGCGATCAATGCGCCCTGTAACGTACGGATTCGAGAAATGTTTTTTCAACAGTTCGGGGAAACTGCAACTTTCCAAAGGCATCAACCATGGGGGGGACCGACGTGGACCCAAATTCAGACACTTCAAAGAAACAGGTAAGGGAATATGAAATTGGGGTGCATATGTCATGCACGTTGACATGCTAGGCTTGGGAGAGGCAGGGTGCGAACGACATACGTTGAATTCTGCTTTCAACTCCAATTAATTGGCAGGAGAACTACTCCAAGCCCCACTTGTGCCACCAAGGAGCGTACTGGGCACGGACGTTGAGGATGCTGCCGTTTTTGTGCTGGAGGAGGACATGTTGCCCATCCCTGAGGAGGACGAGGGTGAAGAGGTAGAAGAGAACGATGCAGAAGCCCTCGATGATCAGATACAGCCAAGCAGCACCCCTGCCAGGTATGCGTGCTGTAAACACATAACACCCTGGTGCAGCGGGTTTGCCATGGGCGGCAGCCCATTGTGCCTCAGATGTTATGCTGGCATTGAAGGGCTGCGAGGGTGTTCCATTGGTCGTAAGGAGTCATGAGCTGCGGGCCATGTGTTACACTGGCGGTAAGTAGGTGCACTTGGTTTGGTGCCCATGTGTTATTCTGGTGGTAAGGAGGAGACATGGGCTGCAGCCCGTGTCACGAGCTGATGGTAAGTTGGTGCCTTTTGTTTGCAGCCTAGGTGTAGGGCACCGTGGTAAGGAGGTGCCATAGGCTGCATCTAGGACACTACTTTCAACATTGTTAGCACATTTGAAACAAGACAGCAATAGGGCTCTGACGCACATTGGAACTTATCCCCCAAATTGCGGTTTTACGTGCTTGATAGGGTGGGCGCGACTCAGGATGAGGCGCGCGTTCACGGGTTGGATGAGGCTGAGCACGTCGCTGTCACTGAAGAGCATGCGGAGGTACCAGTCGGTGCGCCGCAGGATGAGGGCGACACGGTTGGGGTGGGGGGCGCAGATTCCACTGCTGGGGAGGCCGTGCATGAGGAGTCAAGCCCAGCCAGGTATGAACGTCATGCAGCAAAGCTGGTGCCTTGGAATGCAGCCCATGCGTCGCTCTTGTGGTAAGTAGATGCCATGTGCTTCAGCCCCATGTGTTACTCCGGTGATAAGTAGGTGCCTTTGGCTAACAGCACTTGTTTTCTCCATGTGATCGGTAAGTGCCATGGGCTGCAGCCAAACTACTAGTTTTGATAGTGTTAGCGTGTTTGGCACATTGCATGCCATGCTTAGATGCGAATTATTGTTATAAGCCTACCTCCTGAATTGCATACATATGTGCTTCACAGGGTGGATACGTCTCAGGATGAGGCGTGCGTTCACGGGTTGGATGAGGCTGCGCATGTCGCTGTCCCCGAAAAGCACGCGGCGGTACCAGTCGGTGCGCCGCATGATGACCGCGACACGGTTGGGGTGGGGGGCGCAAATTCCACTGCTGGGGAAGCCGTGCATGAGGAGTCTACCCCTGCCAGGTAAGGGTGTCATGCAACAAAGCTGGTGCCTTGGGCTGCAGCCCATGCGTATTATGGTGGTAACGAGGTGGCAGAGGCTGCAACCCATTTGTTATATTGGTGGTAAGGAGGTACCCTGGCTGGTGTGGATGTGTGTTACTCCGCTTATCATGATGTCATGTTCATCGGTGCCATTCCCACGTTCGTCCATTATCAGTATGTGGATTTGCTGTGTTCCACCATTGTCTTGGAGTGTGCTTGACAGGGTGGATGCTGCACAACGGACTGATGGGTCGCCGGTCTAGGTTTCCAAGCATTGTGGGAGGTCAGTCGCACTCTCGGAGTGAAGATTCCTAGAAAACAGACGTTTTATCGGTACATGAGCGGTGAGAATGGCTTGTGGTGCTCTATACAGAAACAGGCATCAAAGTCGATGGAGGATGTGAGGGCCGAAATGGGAAGAAGACCGATTCCAGGTGAATGGATTTGTGTTGATGGACGATGGGACAAGGCAAGAGAGGGGGCATGGTGCACCGTGTCATTTATGGATCGGATCACAAGAAAGGTTATGCACTGTGTGACGGTGTCTAAACAAGTTGAAGGTGTCGCATCAACAGCTCTCGAGAAAATTGCATTCGAACAGGGCTTAGATCAGCTGAAACAGCTCGGCTTTGTGGTCAAGGGCATTATCTCGGACGAGGGGGGGTCTTTCAAAGCATCCATCATCGGCAAGAACATTGAACACCAGATGGATGTTTGGCATAAGGGGCGGAACTTGACACGTCGATTCATTCACGACTTTATTGACGCCAAGAAGCCGTCTCTCCGCGTTTCTGAATGCAAGACCATTGCAGATGTGTGGGCTGTAGCACCAGAGCATCTTCATGCATGGCTACTAGAGAATGGATATAAGGGCCGGCTATCAAAAGGGAGTTGTAGGGAGTCCCTTGTGCAGGCCGTGTGCGGTATTTTGAAGCGCATCCCTTACCAAAAGATGAAAGCCACTAATGCAGTATGGAAGTATCCACTGATGCGAAAGGTGTTGCGGCTGCGTCAACAAGCACTAGCGGCTGGCAGTGGGAAGAAGGAGCTCGTTGGGGGTCTTGGAGGTCGAACATGTGCGGATGGGAGGGTGTTCAAGAGGAGGAAGGTTAATGAGGTGACTCCATCGGGCGACATTTCTGCACACCGTAATGGAGCTTCAGGTCGGAGTGTGGAGGGGAATGTGAATGTGCAGGAGGAGGGCGGCAGCATCGCTGAGCGTGGCAGCGGTGGAGCCGATACTGATGCGACGGGTGGTCCTCATGCAGATGGACAGTTTACGGAGGAGAGAGGAGGTATGGAGGATGTGCAGTGGGACGATGTGAGTGAGATGTTCGGTTACGACCCACACCCCGTCCACGGGGTCCGTCCGTGCTCCGAGACGTCTTTCCTACTCATACAGGCCTCCATCTCGTCTAGCGATCGTATCGTGGACGCGCCGGCGGACGCGCCGGCGGACGTGCTGGCGGACGTGCCGACGGGGGCGGACCAAGCTCAACCTGCAACTTTGGGAGGCTCGTGCGGTATGTTGTGTCATTGGGTTTTTGTCAAAATGGCTTTGCCCCTCATAACCTAGCCACCCCCGTTGTATGTCATCGTGCTACAGATGAAAACATCAACCCGACAGAGCAGCAGTTACCCCTCGGGCAGGAAAGTGTAACCGATGCTGGTGCACGGGAGATCGAGAGCACTGTGGTGGGGAGCGGATCGAGGCCTTGTCGGTGGCAGGAGCGGGGTGTTGGTAAACGTAGTCATGCTGATATGTTGAAGATGGCTACGGACGACATGGGGATGGATGAGGTCGTGACGGAGGTGAATGTAGGACAACGGTGGAGTGTTCACTTCCATCACTGCATGGTGCGGGCCGCGACTTTGGCCCGGGATGGACGCCCCATGTCAGCGAAAGACGTGGCAGACGAGTTGGCGCTTTGTGCTGACCATTGGGCGGGTTTACATGCAGGGTGTGACAGGGGTGTTGTTCCCCCGCGCTGTGTGCGGGACAAATGGGGAGAGGAGAGCGCCATCTACCCACCTGGCTCGCAGACCCATATTGACTTGAAGAAGTGGTTGGAGAAGCACTGCAGCGAGGAGGTGATGAGACCATACGTGTTAGGGGCTGGGAGTTGGTTGAATGAATCCTTCCACTCTCTCATTTGCAAATATGCCCCTAAACGTGTGCGATTCCTTGGGAGCATGGAGGCACGAATTGCCTTGGCCATGCTCCATTGGAACAACACGGTCACGCGTGTTGTCCGAGCCTACAAGGAGCGGATGCGACGAGCGACACGAGTGAGACGGGGCAGAAAGGACAGAGTCTTGGGGCCGATGGATTGGACATGGGTCGACGATATTATGAGGGACTGGGACTCTGCACGACAGACTCTACACACAGGTCCTTCAGCGCCTAGCCCAGTGTCGAACACCCCACCCACTACCCAAGTGACTCATGTGGCCACTGACGCGGTTGGCACGCCGACTCATCCCACAGTTTTCAGCCCAGGTCTGGTGTCATCCTGCAACAGCACCTCATGGTCAAAGCGCCGGCTACGGTCGCACCGCGGACCACGCCCTTCTCGTGCACGACGCTGTCTCCTCTGTAAGTACGAGACCAAATAACAAAAAGGACTCGTTCGATTGGTGTATCTGAAATATTTACTGAAGTTGAGATGAGGGGCTCATGTTTCCATGTGATTTGCTTAACCATACTGTCATATCCCTGCAGCACATCTCCCGCGTTGAGACCACGCCCGTACGCCACAAACGAGTGCGAAGATTGCCACAGAGGTGGGTGATGCGTGAATTTGCATCTTGGTTTCTCTAGGAGTCTCGTACTTGTCGACGGTTTCATTATTGCTATGGCATATGCTGTCATGAATCCATCATGCCATAATAAATATCCCATCTCCTTGATCGTTGCTGACATTTTATTACCGCAGGTTTAATGAGTATGTTGTGGAGACGGACAAGCTTTTCACGGACGTTGTGTCATCTAGGAACCGTCATCATGTATGTTTGTGGCGCATACATAAGTGTTTGCGCAGGATCATGAGTTGTTTCCAACCTCTGTAATCTGTTTGTTATCAAGAGTACACTCAGCACAATGCTGAGTGGCTTTGCCACCGTCTATTGTTATTTTCCTTTCCCGTTGCAGTTTTGAAGACTACGATGTCGCTACGGAGAAACCCCCTGGTCAGACGGCAAGGTATGCATGCAATGCTTTTGGCAAAGTATGGGGTTTTGCATGGGAAGGGAGTGGGGCACGGATGTGTGGGGAAAGGGGGCCATATCCATTACGGATATGCCAAGGGATTGGAGATGCCACTATGGTTTTTGAGTTGTGGAACCTTGGAAGTAGAGGAGTAGGAGGGAGGGAGCAAGCCGGGGAAATGAGTGGGATGATATCAAAGCGAGTTTCGGCATGGGATTGCGCAGGTTTGGGTCGTACTGTTCTGCCATGGGATGTGGATCATTGGGGCAAGGGGTGTGGCTGGTTTTGGCAGAAGTAGGTGCGATCGTGGCTGGGAAGACAGAGCGAAGATAGCGGGAAAGGGTGCGTGGCTGGTTGAGGGCGTGGTGCAGAATAGTGGGGGGAGGAGTGTGGACGGGTGACACGTACAGTGTGGCCATTACGAGGATAAGGCACATGCAAGTATGGACAGAGGGGTTTGAGGCGGCGTGGGAGAGGATGGTGGTGCAAAGAAGCACCGATGAGCGACGGGTGGGGGTTCAAAGAGGTGCGGGCAGGAGTTTAGATGGGTGACGCAGGGGGCCTGTATGGTTTGTGCGTCGTCATTGCACCCCTTTTGGTGTTGGAAGTGCCGGAATGGAGGGGTAAGGCGTCTTGTAACGTAAATTGCAAGAGGTAATCTCAATCTTGAGTGCAAAATGGGGGGAAAGGATTTGCATTTGATGAAGGGGCTATTCCTGCATTGTATGGATCTGCGTATGGTTGTCGTGCGTTCTCCGTTTTCATTTGTGCGGGTACTTTCTACCTCCTCCCTTGTCCTGCTAGCTGCAGGGCTAATGTCCAGATTACTGGGTCACAAGACAGATTGTGGGGGAGGTCGATGCCCCCGCGTGGCCATTCATCCACTGTGGACATTCGGGGCCCGTGATATTTCAAAACATCTCAATGGCAGACATGCATGTTGCACGTGCGCTGATCGAGTCATATGTACACATTGGGAAAATAGTATGTGTTCAATGGACGTTTGTCTTACACTGTTTGTTAGGACATATGCCTATGATGGATATGTAACGTACTGGAAATATGTGGCTGCATAGTCTGGTTTTGCAATAGACTCCCTACGGCCTACTATCATTGCACAGCAAGTCATTCGTCATCCGCCTTTGGTGCTATACCCTCCCACGAGCCTGCTTCGAATTTTATGTTATCCGGGACCTCCCATGAGTGGCAGAACCTGTCAACATCCTCCGCATAGCACTTCTCGTACCCCTTTCCACTAGTATCAGGATACAACGAACCTATTGTCACATGAACTATCCACGGAAGGTTGATGTGCTCCCATAACCGCTCACCCAAGAGGTCCGAGTAATCCAAGTAACACCGGAACCTATGATGCTTTGGCTCCATTGGCATGCCATCCCAAATTTCACGTGTGTTGGCACCACAACAAACACGGATTATGTTTTCAACCGTGCGGCCCCGCACACTGTGGTGCTCTTGGCTATCAAATGGCAGGTTCAGAGCGGTTGCTCCCCACTGCTCAAGGACTTCACATTGTTTTGGAAACGTCTTGGAGAAGTAGGGCAACGACCAACTGTACGCTGGAAGGAGCCGGAAGGGGGGCTTCCCTGTGGGTTGGTGCACGCGAAGGACGCGGGGTGCAGGTCGGGTGTGTTGCGGAGGATGGGGGCTGTCATTCACGCGCTGCGATGCCTTGTTGCCGGAGGCTGCACCCCTTCCAGCTTCACTCTCGTGCTCTTCGCCGACGTCTTCAGTGAGCTCGTTTATCCGACCCAGCAGCCCACGACGGCGCTTCAAGTGTAGCATTTCACTGCATGCAATGCAACGCTCATGGTGGTCGGGTTAGATGCGCCCAAGAGACACGGGACTGCATGTGTGTGAGTATGCAACCCACCTGGGGGTTAGACAACGCCGCGGTGGGGTGCGGGTTGGGGGTCGTGCGATGATGCCACTGTGCGGCGCAGTGAGTGGGGTAGAACACGCACCTGATGTTGGGATAAGGAGAGGGGAGAGATAGGGGGCAGCCGGAAGCGGTGTGTATGGTGCAGCGCCTCATCCATGGCTCCGATGTGGGATGGAAGGCACGACATGTGCACTGGGGATCGGGGACAGGAGGGGGGCGTGAGAGGTGGGCACGATTGATTCCCTGATTGGGAGAGAGGTGACGGGTGCGGGATGGAGTGTGGCTGGTCCATGGCCTCGTCTCTGGATACATGGGGGCTGGGGGGAGATACACATGGGGGCAGGGGATTGATACACATGGGGGCAGGGGATGGATACACATCAGGGTAGGGGGGAGATACACATGGGGTTAGGGGGGAGATACACATGGGGGCAGGGGATTGATACACATGGGGGTAGGGGGGAGATACACATGGGGTTAGGGGGGAGATACACATGGGGGTAGGGGGGAGATACACATGGGGGCAGGGGATTGATACACATGGGGGTAGGGGGGAGATACACATGGGGTTAGGGGGGAGATACACATGGGGGCAGGGGATTGATACACATGGGGGTAGGGGGGAGATACACATGGGGGCAGGGGATTGATACACATGGGGGTAGGGGGGAGATACACATGGGGGCAGGGGATTGATACACATGGGGGTAGGGGGGAGATACACATGGGGTTAGTGGGGAGATACACATGGGGGCAGGGGATTGATACACATGGGGGTAGGGGGGAGATACACATGGGGTTAGGGGGGAGATACACATGGGGGCAGGGGATTGATACACATTGGGGTAGGGGGGAGATACACATGGGGGCTGGGGAGAGATACACATGGGGGCTGGGGAGAGATACACATGGGGGTAGGGAGGAGGTACACATGGGGTTAGGGGGGAGATACACATGGGGGCAGGGGATTGATACACATGGGGGTAGGGGGGAGATACACATGGGGGTAGGAGGCAGATACACATGGGGGCAGGGGATTGATTCACGTGGGGAAAGGGGATAGACAGCGTGGAGCCAGGGGGGAAGGGGTGTGATACTGTGGGGGCAGGGTAGTAATACCATGGTGGGGGTTGGGGGGGTGATACCGTGGGGGAATCAGTGCAGAAGGAGGGGGGAAATGGAGTGCCATTGTGGGGGTAAGGTTGTGCGAAGCAAGGGGTCTAACCCTGTGACGTACGTATAGATTAGGGAGTGCTATCGAGGGGGAAGGGGATTGCGAAACGTGGGGGCAAGGTAGTGCGAAAGGAGGGGGATAGGGAGTGCTATCGAGGGAGTGAGCGAACAGGAAAGAGGGGGAAAGGGCGGACAGTCGAGGGGGAAAGGGCGTGCGACACGCAGAGGAAAGGGAGTGAAGGGAGGGAACGGAGGGCACGGAGGGAAGGGAGGGAAGGGAGGGAAGGCGGGGAAGGGAGGGAACGGAGGGCACGGAGGGAAGGGAGGGAAGGGAGTCAAGGGAGGGAACGGAGGGCACGGAGGGAAGGGAGGGAAGGGAGAGAAGGGTGAGAAGGGAGAGATTGGAGGGAAAGGAGGGAGGGGAGTGAAGGGAGGGAAGGGAGAGAAGGGGGCGAAGGGAGGGAAGGAGGGGATGAATGGACGGGAGAGTAAGCAGGGAAGTAAGACGGTGGAAGACTGGAAGTCAGGATGAGACGGAAGGGAGAAAAGGGTGGTAGGGGGGGAGAGATGGGCGGGTTGGGAGAGAAGGTCGAAATTGGAGAGAAGGGAGGGGAGGGAGGGAAGGGAGGGAAGGGAGGGACGGGAGAGAAGGGAGAGAACAGAGAGCAGGGAGAGACAGGAGAGTGCAGGGAGGGATGAGAGGGAAGGGAGAGAAGGGAGAGAAGGTAAGGGGGGAGAGAAGGGCGGGAAAGGAGAGAAAGGAGGGAAGGGAGGGAAGGGAGAGAAGGGAGGGAAGGGAGTGAAGGGAGGGAAGGGAGGGCAAGAGGGAAGGGAGGGACGGGAGAGAAGGGAGGGAAAGGAGAGACGGGAGAGAAGGAAGTCGGGATGAGAAGGGAGGGGGGAAAGGGTGGTAGGGGGGGAGAGATGGGCGGGAAGGGAGAGAGGGTAGAAGATGGAGAGAAGGGAGGGAAGGGAGGGATGGGAGGGAAGGGATGCAAGGGAGAGACGGGAAAGACAGGAGATTGCAAGGAGGGATGAGAGGGAAGGGAGAAAAGGAATCACAGGGACGGGTGAGAAGGAAGGGAAAGGAGAGATGGGACAGGGAGAGAAGGGAGGGAAGGGAGAGAGGGAGTGAAGGGAGAGAGGGAGTGAAGGGAGAGAGGGGGGAGAAGGGAGGGATTGTAGGGATTGGAGGGAGGGGACGAAAGGGAGGGAAGGGAGAGAAGGGAGGGAAGGGAGAGAAGGAGGGCAGGGAGAAGGGGAGGGAAGGGAGAGAGGGGGGAGAAGAAGGGGATTGTAGGGATTGGAGGGAGGGGACCGAAGGGAGGGAAGGGAGAGAAGGGAGGGAAGGGAGGGAAGGAGGGCAGGGAGAAAGGGAGGGAAGGGAGAGACGGGGGAGGAAGGGAGGGATTGAAGGGATGGGAGAGAAGGGAGGGATGGAGGGACGGGGGAGAAGGGGGAGAAGGGGGAGAAGGGAGAGACGGGAGGGAAGGGTACGCGGGTTGACGGAAGAGGGATTAGGGAGGCGGGAAGGCATGTATGGCGGCGGGAAAAGTGAATCGGGCGGCGGGATTGGCGAAGCGGGCGGCGACAACGCGAATTCGGCGGCGCGAAAGGGGAATATGGCGGCGGGAAGGGGCGGTCGGGCGGCCCGACCGGAATCAATGTGCGGGAAAGGGCCCTCAGGCGGCGCGGAAGGGGATTCGGGCGGCAGGATAGGGGAACCCTTCGGCGGGAGCGTGAATCGAGCGACAGGGCGACGGTGGAGGGAACGCGGCCGGCGAGAAAGAGGAATCGGGAGGCAGTAGATGAGGGCAATCTCAGTTTATAGTAATGCGCGTCTTGAGTGCTCGGTGGCGTGCGGCACAGCCCATTATTACGGCCCCACGTATCACGGCCCGGCACACCCCATGCTAGCGCGATGGCTCTCTTTCCCCCCTACTCACTCTCGACTTTCGCGGAGAGTTCCGCGTAATCGGCGGTTTCGGGGGCCACGCCTGCACTCGAACCATTATCCTCTCGGCCCGTCATCCCTAAGTGAAGATTTCTCTCTGCTGGTGCTTGGTTGTTACGTAGCAATCCCGTGTATGTTGTACTAAAGCTAGGTCAATGATTTGGTTTAGTCAACTCACGATGTTCTTCTTGCGTGCACCTAGCCGTCACTGAACTCGACAGGCATTGGAAAAAGGTCGCAGAGTGTGTTTGGCGATGTTTCACATTCGGCACATGTGTCGCCTGGCAATTGTGGTAACAATGATGTCGCCCAAAAACTAGCGAACTGTGTTCTGCGTTTTCGGGAACCCAGCTACTCGCCATCCAATCCTAATTTTCTTCCCAACCAACCTTCCTACCTTTGAAACCTGTGGACCCTGGGTTTTAAGGAGGATATATGAAAACACTTGTTTACAAATAATGTATCTCACCGTAACTGTTACAACTGATTTGTTAGAGTACAAAAGACTTGGTGTGGAGGGGGGGGGGTCAATACACGGTGGCATGAGCACGCTGGTACGTGAGTGGACACAATTGCGTACATGCTGGCACAATAAAGGTAAGGTTGCCGGAGCTCGGAATGGTGGCAAACGATAATAAGGCAGTAGATTCGGAGGTGAGTAGGTGGATTCCACGTCAAATGAGGCCAACCTCGGACGCAAGTTGTGGACGACGGGCAGATTGTGCACAAAAAGTGAGGTTGTGCACCATTGTGCACATCGTCTGTCTAGTTGCCGCAGGCAACATGGACAGTGGCAATGAGAGCGGTAGAGTGTCCAGGGACGGAAAACGTCAGCGTGTGTCCAAGACCCCGTCTCACCTGAAGCACTACGTGCTACCTGGAACCTCCAAGCGTCCACCGGTGCCGAGGGCGCCGCCTGCTAAGCGGGCGAAAACTCTTAGAATCCCAACCACTAGACCATTGGAATAAAAGGGCTTGTTTCAGTAGCGGGTCAGTGCGCCCATAACCCCCCAGGCAAATGTGCCTGTAACCCTTCCCTAGGATCGATCGGGGATCACCAGTGGACCTCTGACACCCCCCCGCACTGGGATGCCCGAAGTGCATACACCGAGATTCGAACCCGAGACCTTCGCTCTGGATACCATCTTAGAATCCCAACCACTAGACCATTGGGATAAAAGGGCTTGTTTCAGTAGCGGGTCAGTGCGCCCATAACCCCCCAGGCAAATGTGCCTGTAACCCTTCCCTAGGATCGATCGGGGATCACCAGTGGACCTCTGACAAAAACTTCCGCGAGGCCGGTACCTAACGTGACTTCTGACCGTTGTATGTGTGTTGTTTGTGTTTGTGTCCGTCGTTTACATGGTTTCTGCATTGCACATGGCACACACTAACACGTACTGGGTCAGTGTTTTGCAGCGTCGACGCCCCCTCGCGACGCGAGAGATGATCGGGATGGCTCGAGCTCTTCGTCGCGCGAGACGACGTCGAATCGCCGCAAGGCTGGAACGGCCCGGTCGCAGGAGGATGCGCGCACCGCGCGGAGTGGAAAGAGGAGCAGGGACCCGGACCTAGAGGACGATGAAGGGCGTGAAGAACCTGCAGCGACGGGCCCGGGCCCAGTGTCGTCAGACGACGACCCAAACGAAGCTCTTCCAAGGGTCAATCCGCGCGTCGACGGCGACGAAGACGCCACACAGGAGGAGGCCTCAGATTCCACGCCCGTGACCAGGGCGGAGATGACGGCGCTGCGCAAGATGCAGATGGACACGGCAGCCACAATGGCACGGCTGGAGACGGCACTGCTGGCCTCGCTGGCCAACCACCAGGCGAAGAAGCGCAAATGTGACAACGCAAGAGGCGAGTGCGACAGGGTCAACCCACGTAAGGCTCGCCGCGTGGCGAGCCCCGAGCCGTCGCTAGATGAGGACGAGGTGGAGGACGAGGTCGGTTGCCACGTGCGGACGTCGAGCTCACCGATCCTGCAGTGTGCGCTGAAGTTTTTACCCGCGAACAAAGGGTGGAAGGTGGGGTGATAGGGTTGATGTCTTGCATGGTGGGGGCGCATTGTCAGTTAAGGCCCGGTCTGTAGGCGGGGTGCTTGGTTGTTGAGGATGGATTGCCGCAGTGTTTAACTGGCATGCTTACGTATGTGTGTATTGCTGAACGCAGGAAATCTGCGAGCAGCTGTGTGTGCATCCCTTCATCAACACTCCAGACGCGCAGATGTCGTTCTACCCCAGTAGTGCGGCGAAGAGTGCCGGGCTATGCGCTGTAATTGAGCGTCTGACTCCCACCTTTGCTGCTCTCGCAATGGCTGCGGACAAAGCGTGTCGCGCTGACCTGAACCGTACGCTGAGCGATTGGAAGACGGCGGCCGCGGGCAGGGTGCGAGACATCGCTCTGCCGAAGCTGGGACTTTTCCGCGACGAGAGGGACGCGAGCAGCCCGTGGGCTGCACCAAGGGCCCGGTCGGCTGCGAGAGTTCAGGAGCGTCTTCTTCTGACGCTCGATGGGGAGGGTAAGGCTGTCAACCTGGTTGGTTTTTGCTTGGGCGGTTGCAACATAATGACGCACGTATGGCCGGATGGTTGTTGTGCAGACCACTTCGTGATCTCCAAGTGGAGCGAGGACAGGCGCGGCATGCCATTTGCGTCGGGCGCATTTGCTGCTTGCGCTCGCGCGGCGTTCAGGCCCCGGATGGTGAACGGGACGCTGACGTTGAAGCTGTATCACATGGCGTGGCTCGAACACGTGGTGAGTATGGCCGATCCATAGAGTAGAAGGAGCCATTTGTGCCTGTGGTTATCCGTGAGGAGGGATGCACATTGTGGATGCTAATGCGCCTATATTCCTTGGGTGGTGCTCGTCTGCGCAGGTGACCGACGCGATCCGCTTCTGGGACACCCGCAAGGGCAGGCTCTCGAACTCTGCGGGTGTCAACGCGCAGATCGTGGACGGCCTCCGCGAGTGCGCGCTCGTGGACGTCATGGCTGCCATCGAGCAGTACCAGCTGCAGTACGACCCCACGACGTCGTCGTGGGCGTGGGGCCGCCATGGGCTGCGCCTGTCTGCGGATGGAGTTGAGAGGCAGGAGCCCGCCAAGCAGGCACACAGCGAGAGCGACGGCTAGAGGGACAACATGTCCCTCACCTGAGGCCTAGCCGTAGAGCAGGCCATATTGCACGATGAAAGTGGGGGGTCAATCTTGCGTCAGAGTACTGGGGAAGATGAGGGCTTTAGGGGGTGGGGGTGGGTGGATAGGCGGTAGTAGCTTTTGAAGTGTTGGTGTAGTGTTGCATGTTGTTGGTGGGCGAGCGCATACGGAGGGTGGGGTTATGTGATGGTTTAATGTGCGGTCAATGAAGAAAGTTATGCGTTAGTTGCAGAGCAGAACCAAATTGCCGACGCATAAGTTGCACGGAGAAGGCAGTAAAATGTACTAGAAGCATGAACAGTGCGGTCCAGGGTAGGTGGAAACGCGGCCCGGGTGTTCAGTGGGTGAATATTGATGGTGCGATCTATGGGTGCTTCACTCGCGCTACGCGTGGATTCACTGCGAGGCCCGTGTGATAGACGGTGGTGATGTGTGATAACGTCATGGGTGTTGTTGTCGCCGGGCATCGTACATCGTGGATGGACTCTCGCACGAGCAGCGGTGCGAGAACAGGCGACGTATTAGACGCGTGGGATGGTACAGAAGTTCCTCGTACGATGGTAATGCGATGGGTGATGGGCGTCGATTTGTGCGCATCGTTTTCGGTGTGAGCCGTTGATGTCGTCTTGCATCAATGGTTGTCGTCCACCATGCAGAGAGACGGTGTTGGCACGATGGTTGGATGTACGCCGTGGATTGTCGTGGGATGAGTGCACCAAAACCGTGGGTGTGTCTAAAATCGACGGTGTGAAGGGGGGCACGTGTGCGGGTTTTCTAGGAGGGGGGTAAATCTGGGTCGTCCATGCATTTACGTTTTGACGGTTGGAGCTCGGCAGAGGCTGAGCTAAGAACGAGGAGGAAACCTACGGAGCGCTTGGAGAGAGAACGGCGGAGTACTGCTGGAGCATGGAGGAAAACAGAGCTAGGAACGCCAGTCTAGTAAACGGCTGGAGGAGGCAGGGCTGACGAGCCGATCGAGGAGCCAGAGAGTCGTTCGAGGGGCTGGCGGAGCGAGGAGAGACCTAGCTAACAACGAACGTCAAGGCTAGCCTAAAAAGCTAAGCAGAGCGGCCTCCAGCCGCGACAGTGCGAAACACTGTGAGTATGAGTGACGCGAGTGTCGAACCAACGGAGGTCGGGTGGTCCTGGGTGGTGTGCGCGCGAGAGCGGCTGGAACGGGCTGTGAGCGGTTGGAAGGGGCTGTGAGCGGTTGAAAGGGGCTATGGGCGGGTGGGAGGTGCTAGCTGGCGCCAACTGCTGGCGGCTAGGTTCCGGTGGCTAGCTGCTGCTGGCGGCTAGCTTCTGCCTAGCCGTGCTGCTACTGCAGGAGCACGCGCTGCTGCCTAGCCGTGCTTCTGCTGCAATGCACGCGCTGCTGCCTAGCCGTGCTGCTGCAGCAATGCACGCGCTGCTGCCTAGCCGTGCTTCTGCTGCAATGCACGCGCTGCTGCCTAGCCGTGCTTCTGCTGCAATGCACGCGCTGCTGCCTAGCCGTGCTGCTGCAGCAATGCACGCGCTGCTGCCTAGTCGTGCAGCTGCAGCAATGCACGCGCTGCTGCTGCAATGTGCGTGCTGCAGTGGCGTGCGCGGCTGCCGCTGGCTAACGCGCGCGCTGCTGCGGGCTAAGAACGACTACGCGGGCCCGCGGGTGGGGGTGGAGAGTCCCCTCTGGAGCGCGACGAAACGAGGGGCCAGCGGGGCCCTTTAAGCGCGACGAAAAACGAGGCCTGCGGGGGCCCTTAAACGTTGTTGGCGGTGCTTGTAAGCCTGGATTATGGTGCGTGACGGTTCGTTTAGGGTGGCAGGGACGACACGTGCTTGTCAGTGGTTGGTAGCCCAGCTCAGAAACGCAAGTACGTTCAGTTGCGTCTGGAGTTGGATGTAACGTGGGTGTTGTAACTGTACACCACGTGGATGCCTACGTGGCAGTGGCATTGTCCGGTGATGTTATGGTGACGTAATGGTTGTGGTGCGCCGGGTCACTGTTCATAGACGCGATGGTCACTCAGATGTAACGTTGCGTGTGACGAAAATGTGTTGTTTACGAAACAAATGCGGAACGGAATGGTGAAGTGTTAGTGACTCTATAGGTAACGTCGCGAACTGGGACTTCTGTCCATGACTTTTCCGTCACCGGAAAAGGTTACGTAGAAGTCCCTTATAAGTCACATTTCCGTGACTTTCCTGACTTAGCATTTCCGCGATGAAGGTATGGTCTTTCCTAGGAATTGCGGGAGGACGCCGAGTGTGGTCTCACGGAAAGTATTCCAACGGGGTGAAATAAACCGCATTCTTACCTTAAAAACATGTGATAATTAGGATCCTTCGAACGAACAAACGTACCGTATCTCTACTTAGAATGAATGTCAAAGGTTGCAATGTATCGCACCTTAAGTTTGAGGGCCGACTTATACGTTTATCAACTAATCAAAAGCAGAACACGGGTGGTGGGATGGGAGATAGGGGGTAGAGAACATGTGTGGTGGGATAGTGGATAGCAGAACACTTGTTCACACGTGTTCTCATTTCAGTCCATGACTGCCACGTCATGGTCTCCGCACTCGATAGCACGTAGGAATGCGCTCAAAAGGTCGGCAAGCATCTGCGGTAACAATAACTGGGATCAATTAATGAACGGAAATAACAATTTAGCACGCCAGAACCATGGCGAGCCATGGCCCATGTCACAAGAATGAGCAATGAAGACTAACAGGCATCAACATACTCAATACCACCTACTACTGCTGAGTTTCAAAATCAGATTGGAGGGTACCAGGGTTTCATTATGCCATGTATAGCGAGCGCAACGTACCATAACATTCAGTACAAACTCATACTGAAAAATTGCTGTACAGAGATGGAAGCAACAGGTCCCTAGAGGACCCCCAAGAGCATTTGTTCTGCTCTGCAAGCCTAGGAATCCCTAACAGAGGAACTCCAAGAGTGACACAACCCCATCCTGATGATGAAGTACAACGAGCAGCCCCCACCCAGGCGTACACTAAAGCAGCATATGTTATACAACCGAAAACAAGGAGAAGAATCCATCACATGTCAATCACGGGTTTCAATTCACACATTGTAAGGAGGAACGTTGTCCTTGACTGCTGCCGGCGCTGCATCTGCAACGGCTTTGAGCACACCGCGCTTGTACATGCGGGTGGTGTAGTACCAGAACATTGCAATGTAGGTGAAGGCGGCGAAATACGCCATGGCGCATGCACCACGGACCTTGCCCAGGTCCGCATTAGCGTCATTAATGTATTGATTAATATAAGAGTCGTAGTCCAACGATCCAGGGAGTGTGGTGCTCAGTCCCAGCGAGGCGAGCATGGCCTTGGTTGCGCTGGTGCTGTAATCTCCAAGCACCATACTGCACAAGGGAAAGCGGGAGAAGGAAACGGAGACGTGATTTAATAAGAGTTATAGGTTGTCGCTAAAAATGTAGGTTAATAGGTTGTTCAATTGCGTATAGATGGTCGGAGGACATTCTTGTAGCCTGCTGTTTCATCTGTGCTTCTTTGCTTCTCTGTTTTTACGCCAAAGGGGAACGACGAACGTACTTGTTCAAGGCGCCGGTGTTCCACCAGGTGTTGCACGCAGCTGCTCCTGACGTGGCGGCGGCGAACAGCAGAAGCGACATGATCTGTCAAATAACGAGGGATTTTGGATAGAAATAATAAAAATCTTTTGTACACACAGTAATCGGTTTTGGAGAATGTTTCAGGCATTCGATTGGCCAGTGACTTGAGTCCAGCCTCTCGATTTTTTTAGGCTGTCCAGCTGGGACCGCGGGACGAGTATGCGCGCACCGCGGTTGCCTCACGTGAGTCTCAAAGGACCATTCGATGGACTCACGTAGGACTCGAAGAACTGCACGATGTCCACCATTTATTCGTATGATTCGATGGGCTGACATCACGTCAAGGATACGAACGATTCGCGTAGGTCTCAAGGGTTCGTAAGGATTCAAAACTCACGATGTCAAAAGATTCACGTACGACTCGAACGGACTCACGTAGGACTCGAAGAACTGCACGATGTCCATGATCCAGTCGTACGACTCGGAGCCGGCGACGCAGATGCGCACGGAGTTGTACACGAGCAGCATTACGGCGAATATGAACCCCAAAATCGTCATTCCCACCAGAAACGCGCCCGCGCTGTACGACGTCACTGTCGCCTTGGTCGCGAACAACAGACTGCCGCGGAGAATAAAGAAAACCGAGCAATCGAGGGGAAGAGGATTGTAAGAAAATAAGAAATATGGGCAGGAGGGGGATAAGCAACTTCACAATATTCTCTCGCGTTCCTGGCGATAAGCACGAAAATGTGAGGAGGTGAATGGAACTCGATCTGAGATTGAGAAAGGTTAATGATGCTGAGTTCATCCAAGCGACAAGCGCACCTGAAAGCGACAAGGCAGAAGAAAAAGATGCCGATGCGAAGGCCGAAAGGGAGCCACGTGTAAAGCGCGGAGCGCTTGTTGTTGGCGCAGCACCCCTCCGAATTGCTCGGCGCTGGCGCAGGCGTCTGCATGTTTGGAACCTGCTGCTGAGCCATTTCAAGGTATGGTCTTTCCTAGGAATTGCGGGAGGACGCCGAATGTGGTCTCACGGAAAGTATTCCAACGGGGTGAAATAAACAGAGACTGAGATCTAGTGGCTTGTTTGGGAGAGCAGCGAGAGAAGCACGATGTAGCTGTTTGTGAAGTGCTTGAACGGCGAGGCCGGGAATTGTAGTGGCGCGAATAAACAACACAAGTGAATGCGAAAGCTGTGTGTGAGGTGAGGAGGGACAAGGTCGGACAGATGTATATCTGAATTGCTTGCTGTAGGGGGAACGCAAGAATGGTGTGGGGTTGGATGGGCGCCGACATGGCGTGCCAGCACGGTGTGAGTCAGTTCCAGCTGGCTGGGAGACTTTTACGGCTTAGCCATTTCGTGGCGGAGCTGGCCAAGTCAACGGCGTATCCC